GGACGGACAGGCTGAAAAGGTAGAAGCGGTGCGATGGCGGATGTTGAGCGGACGACGAGCGGACAAGACGAACTTCATTCTTGCTTTCTTTGGGGGCGGAAACTTATACTCGTCACCTGCAGTAGCTACGCGGAGCAACCGTGCCCCCAATCAAGCTGTCGCTGCGACAGACGCAGTCACACCGGCGTCAATGACTCCTCTGCTCTCCAGCATCGATCGCATCAACGCTGCTCTGGAAGCTGCAGTGGCACATCCTCCACCGCCGACCGGTACAGTGCGTGTGTGCAACGCAACGGAAGACAAGTGGAACGCGTTTGCAGACAGCGAGGATCCAATCGCTCGACTCAATTATCTTGAACGGTTTCCTGACACGGAAAAGATTCACATCATCGAGTTTGCCGACGCTCCACACGAAGATTGACGCGCCTTGGCTAGCAGAGGGTCGCGACGAATCTTGGGTTTTGTGGTTGGCTTGGTCTTCTTGAGGAAAAAAGGAAAGTGACTTTATTTGTGGGTGAGCGGGAGGCGCTTCGTCTAGTTTAAATATTCGAACTACAGCATTCAGATTTTCAACCCTGGCTGTGGTGGATCTTCTCGTCTTCTCATTCTTGCTAGGCGCCACAGGCTTCATCCACGTAGGCAGGCAGTTATGTCATACTCCCCCCATGAACCTGTTCGGTTAGCAAGGGAATATACGGCGGACGCTGACTTGTTGTGTCGTGGCTCCTTTGTCTATAGGGACCGTGCCGTTGTCATGTACCTGCTTGATAGTGTACGGGCCTTGAGCAACAGCTCGTGTCTTCGCCCGAAACGCCTTGAGGACACGCAGCATTACGTGGTCTCCAGCACTGTAGAAGTGTTCGCTTCGCTTGGAATTTTCGCGATCATTGTCTTGTAGGATCGCATCAAACCTTCTCTTCGACATGTAGCTCCAGTTAGCTTAGTACAGCTGGCGAGAAATCATATCTTGTCCGAAGATCAGCTGTCCAGGTGAGGCATTGAGAATGCTATGGTAACTAGCACACACAGCAAACGCTGCATAGTACAGAGACTTCTTCCAGTCCACTGTCTCGTAGCATCTGACGATATTCATCAGCTCCATGTGAACACGCTCGCAAATCGCGTAGGCTTGTAGATTCTTGGCGGTAATTGGCTTCGCTTCGATACCGTAACTCCTCAGCAACTCTTGGAACTCTTCGCCAGTGAACTCAGGTCCGGTATCATGGATCACCTGTCGAGGTCGAGGGTAGCGACAAAGCCATTCTCGGTCGAAGCTTTCGGCTGTTGTGCGGGACTTCTTGTCTGGTTGAACGCCGACTTCAAGCCATCGCGTGGCGTGATCGATCATCGTGATGCCGTATCCACCTCCATCGTAAGGCCCAATTAAATCCACGTGAACCAGATCCCAAGGGTTAACAGTCTTGAGTGATCTTGAGGGCAAAAGGCCATAGTCCTGCTTGCCACCGTGTACTTTTGCACGCTTGCAGACGAGATATTTGTTGAGCTGCGCTGCAATGAACGTTTCCATGCCGGGCCAGTATAGAACTTGGCGCATGGTCTTGAACTGCCGTTCGGACCCCGGATGTGCTAGGTTCTGGTGGTACCAGTCGACGAGATCTTCTCGAAGCGACTCGGGGATAATTACTCGGCCGTGATACGCCACCAGGGTACATCCTAGAAGTGACATAAGCTTATAGTCCGGGTTGTTGTCACCTGCGAGGCACGCAGTCTTGATCTTCTGGATCATTTCGTCTTTGACTTGTTGCTCACGGATGACAGGTCCGTGCATCACACATGCGGGTTCTTCTTCAACTGCGTACTCTTTTTCCTCTATTGACGGCTGTTGCTGGGACTCAAACCGCATTCGAGAGAAAGCGTCCGCCCCGATGTTCTTCGCGCCTTTGATATAATGCAGCGTGAGACGATACTCGGAGAGCAGAAGTTCCCAACGTTTCACTCGCAGACTGTTCTCAGTCGGGTAAATGAGGTTCTTGTGGTCAGTGTGTACGACCACTTCGAACCCCAGCAGCATGGTACGGTACTCGCGGAGTAGAGACACAATCGAAAGAAGCTCTAGCTCCGTCGTCGTGTAGTTGACTTGATACTTGTCCAGGGCACGAGAATAGCAAGCCAAAATCGAGTTCTGCTGCATGATAATACCTCCAAGCTGTTTCCCACTGACGTCGGCATACACGTGAAAAGGGCGGCTGAAATCTGGAAATGCGAGGAGAACAGCTTCAGCAAAGGCCTTCTTGATCGCGTTGAACGCGTCCGTGTCGCTTTGTAGCCATGTGAACGGAGTTTTGTTGCTCGTGAGCCGGCTGAGCGGAGCACATAGGGCAGCCTTATTAGGCACCATGTCCCTGTAATAGTTGATCATTCCGAGGAATCTACGAAGTTCCTTTCTGTTCTTGGGAGCTGCAATCTGCTAGATTGCTTGAATCTTTTTTGCTTGCGGTTGAATACCTTTAGCCGTCAGCGTAAAGCCAAGGTAGCTAACGGAGTCGCGCAAGATGTGGCACTTCTTGCCGTTAAGTGTGATGTGGAATTGGTCCAGACGATCGAACACCACACGTAAGTGTTCCAGGTGCTCATCTTCAGTGCTGAAGAATACGAGGATGTCGTCGAGGTACACGACAACAAACGGCAGGTCTCCGAAGATCTTCTCCATGCACGCCTGATACTCATCAGGAGCAGTAGCGATGCCCATGGGTAGCCTCTTGTATTGAAACTTGCCCCAGGGGAGACAAAAAGCGGTATACGGGCGACTCTGTCGGGCGAGCCGGCGCGCGTAGTAGCCCATGTTGGCTTCGAACGAAGGGAGGAATTTAGCTCCAGCGAGCCGCAGCAGGATCTCGCGGATTTTAGGCACGTAGTACGGGCTTCTACGTAGGTACTTGTTGAGAACTCTGTAATCAATAAGCAGACGTAACGTCCCGTTTTGCTTAACCAGGAAAAATGCTGGTGAAGCCATTTCCGAGCCGTAGATCTGTTCGAAAACATCTTGATTCACGAGTCGTTGAATCTCAGCCTTCGCCTTGTCTTCTATGCTACGCGGAATCGCGTACGGTTTTGCATGTACTGGTTTGAAGTCAGGTGATAGAGGTAGCACATAGTCGTCGAAGCGCATTCGTCCGAGGTGTCCGTCGTACAGATGTGCGTAGTCTTGCAGCAGTTGCAGGTAGCGAGCTGCTACTTCTCCTGACAGGGTGTCGAGCATCAGGTCTGTTGGGCTGACGGCCGTGTCCACCGTCTCCTTGCATTCGTCAGGAAACTCGTTGTCCGTCGTCACTGTCGATGCTGGTGCTTCACTGGGAGGGTCCGTATTGAGCGTGGCAGCGTAGCCGTCCCATTGGACAACTTTATCCTTGAAATTGAGCACTAAGCCCAGTGCTTCCATGAGATCTCGTTTAATGACCATTGGGTCAGAGCTGTGACCGAGGATCTCAAATCGGTGGGTAATCTTGGTCGTCGGGTTCAGGTGCGGAGACTTAAACTGCAGCACAGCGGTACCATCGCTCTTGACTTGACCGCCCACCGTTTGGAACGTTGTCTTGGACTCGACTTGTCTGCGGCCATGTGACGACAATACTTTCATCGTGTCGGCGTTGATCACACTTTTGGAGGCTCCGCTGTCGAGTAGCGCATGAATCTTTTTGCTCTCCTTGCGCAGTTGTACCTCGATGCGTAGAGGAGCTTTGCGGGCGACGGGCTTTGGATCCACCAGTCCGATGAACTTGTATTCGTCCTCGTCGCTAGACTCGCTGTCACTGTGGCGGTCTTTGTACACTCTTGGGTACTTCTTCGGCTTTGCCTTCTTCTTTGCAGCAGCGCGTTTATGCTCATCCTGTTGTTGTTTCTTGAGCGCAAAACAGTCAGCTGTGTTGTGTGACGAGGTCTACTGGTGGGTGCACCACTTGTTCGGGTTCTTGGGCGCCGAGGCCGAAGACGCGTGGTTGCTCTTGTCTTTGTTACCTTTGTGACGATCCGACTTCTCGGGCTTGTTGAAACGCGAAGGGCGCAATAATTTGCTGGAACTATTGCTTTCTTTCTTCTTGCAACCAGCCTTTTCTCGCATCTCTATCCGCTCAAAATACTGGATCAGCTCACTCATTCGTTCGTAAGCGACGCCAGATGCTGCGAGCTTGTCTTGCCATGCGTGCGGCATAGCTCGCTTGAAGAACCGGCACTGCTGAACCTCAGGGATGACTTCCGCGTTAGTCGGCAGTTCCGCAAACATGCGTACCAGCTCCTTGAGCCGTCTGTAGAGCTGCTGGACGCTCTTGTTAGAGCGCATCTCCAGGCTCCATAGTTCTTCGTCGAACGTCTCGCTGTAGTTGGCCGGGACTAACAGCCTTCCAATGCTCTCGTAGAACTCGGTGAAGGATAAGCCGTTCTGGACCGCCTGTCTGGCGTTGTCCTCGACGTCGCACTTCAACTCGCCGTCCAGGAGAAGAAGAAGTTGCATCGCGGCTTGCTCGACTGTCCAACCTTTCCGTTGAGCGAGGCTCTTGAAGCGCATGCTCCATCGCAGCCAGTCCTTAGCGTTGCCCCTGTAGAACTTGAGGATGTGGATCTTGGCCGTGTCGGCTGGAGCGTGCTCGGTTGCGGGGCTTGTGACGATCGTGTAGGTGACGTAGTCGTCCTCGTCGTGCTGCTTGCGCCCATGTCTGAAGGTCCTTGATTCGCCTTGCAGATTTGATATATCAAAATGACGCGCCTTGGCTAGCAGAGGGTCGCGACGAATCTTGGGTTTTGTGGTTGACTTGGTCTTCTTGAGGAAAAAAGGAAAGTGACTTTATTTGTGGGTGAGCGGGAGGCGCTTCGTCTAGTTTAAATATTCGAACTACAGCATTCAGATTTTCAAATCTGGCTGTGGTAGATCTTCTCGTCTTCTTATTCTTGCTAGGCGCCACAGGCTTCATCCACGTAGGCAGGCAGTTATGTCAAGATTACGTTGTAGGGCTAAACGATCAATTTCGTGAGCGGCATATCAAGCGATGGCTCAAAGGCCACTTGGCCGCCAAGAATTCTCAAGGGCGACAATGGTGCTCAGATCTCAGTTATGGACCACGCGAAGAAACACCCGGCTCGGTGCTTCCTCCAAACGTTCCAATATTTGCAGACTTTCGGACGATTAAGGTTGAAATTGGAGTTTCTCAGCAGTGGGGCATGGCACCTGGAGAGCTCGACCACAAGACGATTGCCATATGGGCCGCGATGCCAGGAGTCGAATATGTGCTATGTGTGTCATTCGATCCCGACTTTGCGAATGCCGAATACAAGCTGTATGATGCTCGCGTCCATCCACTTGTGCAGCTGGCTCCACTTCCAATCGCCGCTCCAAGCACGGTGATCCAGTTGGACGGACGTCGAATCCTTGGTATTCCGCCACGGATGGCGCTCCCGGTAGGGTTTCCTGCAACTCTGTCGGTGGATTTGTACTCTCCATTGGCCTGGGCAACGCGTTAATCAGACGTCCAGCAAACTCTTGCGCAGCAACTACCGAGTGATCTGAATTTTATATTTAAAAAAAATAATCATGAATTCATGAGATGCGTGGCAGACCGGTTTTATATATACCGGTATGAACCGGATTCTATTGTGACATTGCACGGTGACTCTAAGAGTGAATACTGCGTGAGTATTTGTTTTAATACTCACAGAGTTTTATAAAAAAATACCACGAGAAGTGCCGTCGTGTACTTGTTTGTCACATCTCGTGAATTTGTGGGTATGTGAGTACAGTACTGCACCCCGTTTTCGCGAGGGCGGACCATTTAGGATTTGCAAATAATTTAGATTTAAGCATAAAACAATAGTTCATTTGGATTTAGGATCATCACATCCGGAAGTTTATCAAAGGTCCAAGGGCGCGAAAATGGGGTGCAGTACTGTATTTTAAAATGGCCTTTTTAGCCTCCATATATTTTGCTTTTTTTATATGAAGGGGCCTGTTGTTTGTCGCCTTCAACAAAATGTAGAAGTGGACTTGTTTATCTTATGTACTAGCAATATGCATGACTACTGAAAGGTCGTCTGTTCTGCAACCACCAGCTGAAGTGCGTCCGTTGTAATCTTCAACGTGTTGCACTTGTACTAAAGCAAGTGCCGTCGTCTCTGTTAAGATATTGGGTGAGCTGTACGACTTAGTAAGCACAGCACGTACAGTCCCAGAAGGAGAAAGGTGGTCGAAGACTAAGGACGGAAAGTTTAGCTGTAAGGACTCAAGAGATCTGGCCACAGTTTGCCTTTTGCTTTTGAGAGAGAAGCATACTCAAGAAGAAACCGTAGTTGCAGTCGAGGTAGTAAGGGAAGTAACAAGATTTTATTCGCTTTCTGCTACTGTCCAGAATACCAGCGCAATTACGTAACAGGGTTATGAGCCCAACGATGCGGAACAGAGGAAACGGAATAAAGATGGACGTCCAGTGAATTGGAATGGACGCAATTGGCCTCTTTACAAGCGCACCATGATGAGATACCTGACTTGCTACAACGTAGAGGACAATGGCTGGCGTTTGGACGACATCTGTGACGGTAGTGTTGAGTACCGAAACACCAATGGTAACGAGGAGGAGCAACGATTTATGCGGCAAGACCAGTTACTCGCCAAGTTGATTGCAAGTTCACTATCGTGCACCCTCGCCCAGCAAGTAATGCGGTTTGACTACGGGTCAGACATGTGGAACTACTTGGCTACGCGCTTTGAAGGACGTGAAAACGAGATGACTACACTGTACACTCAACGTGCCGTTCGTCAGAAGCTCGAAAGTGCATCATGTCGGCCAGGTGCAGACGTTGAGAACCACTTACTGTACATGATGGGCCTATGCGAACAGTTGGTTGTACTGGATGCAGACGTTAGTGACTCTTGGATTGTCGACTTCATGGTTCGATCTGTGTCGCAGCTGTCATTTTACAGAGAGCTAAGAACTCTCATGCTAACTGGAGGCCTCCACACGATGAAGACACCAGATCAAGTGAAGTCAATGATCCTCGTTCTGGACAAGGAGGAGCTAGTGGATAAATAATCCCAAGTTCGAATTAATCCCGATGTACGAGATGAAGCTGGAGGCGGTCGGCAAGGTGGCCGCAGTAACGGTGGCAAGCCGATGCCAAAGTACCAGAATCGTAACAAGGACAAGTCTACCATAAACACCGGTGGCCGTCAGAAGTACTCGGGGTACTTCAAGAGAAAAACCGACGAGCAGCAGCGGCAGTATGAAGAAGATCGAGAGAACAAGAGCTGCTTTGGCTGTCACCAGCCGGGGCACACTCGAAGAAACTGCCCAGAAGAGATGAAGCCGGAGCCGAAGAGCCAAAATGGCAGTAGTGTCGGTAACGTCCACAATCATGCCAACTTCACTCATTCGTCGGGGGTGGCTAGCCGCGAACCACAAGGACCTGCGCAAAAGCAGGAGGGACGCGCCTACTCACGAGAAGCTTCACAGTCGAAGAAAGGCACTGCCAAGTACCAACAGAAGCTTGAATACCAGCCGGAGACTTGGGTGTTCGAAAATGGAGCAACACAGCATTTGGCCGGAGATAAGAGATACTTTGTCAACTACCGTGATCTAACGCTAGAAGAACAAGATAGAGCTACAGTTCATGGCTACAACGGCAAGAGTACTCCAATCGGCATTGGATCAATTGGCTTATGGGTCAATGTTAACGACAATCCAGTAGTTCTTCGAGTCGAGAACGTATACTATTCACCACAACGGACAAATTTGCTCTCCCAGTCGGCGGCAATGGAGCAAGGATTCCAAACCTCATATGACGACTCGACGAGAGAATACACGTTGACTATGAACGGTGAAGTAGCACTTAAGGTGCAGGTACAACCGTCCAAGCTGTGGACGTTCACAACAGACAACTCATTCTTACCAGGGAAAAAGTCGGAAGAAAAACCAGTCAGCGCCAAAGACAATGATCAACTACGCAATTAGTGATGGCGTCGCAGACTTGCAGAGCTGGCACGAGCGACTAGGCCACATCTGCCCTCGATTTGTGAAGCAAATGGCCGATCAAAACTTGGTCGAAGGAATGATGTTAAGAAAGAGGGACTTTGACATGTGTGAAGCCTGTCAACTTGGAAAACAACGCGCAAAAACACCATTGAAACAACTAGATCATGGAGTGAAACGACGAAACCAGTTAGTGTTTGCCGATCTGCTATTCCCGCCAAGTCACTACAGCTGTACGCGTTTCAAGGCAGTATTGGTGATAATGGACGCTCACACGAGGTTTACAACGATTTATCCGGTGCAGACCAAGCAGAAGGAAAAATTAATGCACTGATGAAGCGATATGTCGTTTGGGCTGAAAGGCAATCACCAGAATGGAAGGTGAATGAGATCATTACGGACGGCGGTGGTGAGTTCGAGAATGGACAGATCACAACATGGTACCAGGAACACGGCATAATACATACCGTCATACCACCGAAAACATCTCGGCTGAACATGGTGGAGCGTACCCATCAGACGATAATTGGTATGATGAAGACAATGATGAAGGAATCGGGCTTCCCGACGTCATTTTGGATCGAAGCACTGTATTATGCAGTGTATCTTAAGAATCGATCACTCTCAAGTTCAATTAACTGCACGCCGTACGAAGGAAGGTGGGGAAGACGCCCAGATATTCACCACATTAGGAAATTCGGAGCTCTAGTCTACGCACACACGAAGGTTGGGCCGTCACGTCACAAATTTGCCGGCAACTGCAAGATTGGATTTGTGCTCGGCTATCGTGATGGAGTTCTTGGATGCAAAGTCTATTTTCCTGCAGAAGGTTCAGTATTAATTGCTGGAGAAATCACTGCGAACGAACGAGTTCTATACAAAGATCGACACCACACTGATTTTGATCGCGCGTAAGAGACTGGGTGCTAGCTGAGCGACCAGATCTAACAAGCGCAGGCCGTCATGATTACGACTTACCAGTCGTAGGGGGGAGTGACGGAGATAGCAGCAATGATACCGTCAATACCGAGCAACATAGCTCAAGATCTGATGGACCAAGCGTCAGAGAGCCGCCATGGCTACGGAAACCGCTGCCAAGCTTTGGAAACACCATGGCGGTGCATCCTGAAGTGGATCATCGAAAACGAGTTAGTGACAGTATGAAACACATCAGACTTGCTGTTGACGATGATAGTGAACCAAATACTAGCACGTGTCAGGAAACAGTGGACTCGAGCTTGGAAGAAGAATCAGAAGATCTTGACCAAGAAGCTGAAGAGCAATTTGAATACGCAGAATTAATTGCAAGATCGCTGCTTGACGACGTGGATGAGAATACGCTTAGTGATGGAAGTAAAGATGGTGCTGAAAAGGAGAAGAAACAGCACTTAAAGAGGGGTATGAAAGAGTTTGCGGAGCCTGAAGAAGAAGATTTAACTGCTGACGAGATGCAAGTGTATGCTGCGCTAACCGCGATTGCACTTATTACAGAGACGCCTACGCAGCCACAGCAACGCACATGGCACATTTCGGAGCTAAAAGTCCCAAGAACAGTATCCCAGGCGATGAACTCACCCCAGAGAGCCGAATGGTGGAAAGAAATGGAGAAAGAAGTGTCAGCAATGGTTGAAAAAGACGTACTTGAGCTGGTTCCGGAGACGGACATTCCAATAGGGATGAAAGCACTTGAGACGATGTGGCGATTTCAGCCCAAGACTGATGATTTTGGAAATATTTTGCGCTATCGCTCTCGTCTCTGTGCTCGTGGAGACAAAGAGGTACCAGGTATTGACTTCAGTGTATTGGATACATTCTCACCTGTGGCGCGAATGGCATCATTCAGATTGTTTGTTGCACTTTGCCAAATTTACCAATTGGTTGCCCACCAAGGTGATATCAACACAGCCTACCTGAATGCACCGAAGAAACAACTCGCATTCATTCGACGAATCATAGGATTTCCACTCAAACCAGGATGGGTTTACAAGGTGAAGAATGCGTTGTATGGTTTGCATGAAAGTGGACGTGAATGGTACGACGAGCTGCACAGTTGGCTGAGTGAAAAAGGAATGGAGAGAAGTACGACTAAACCCTGCATGTATTTCCGATTTGAAGGGCAATCTATTGCTCTCCTTCTTATCTACGTGGATGATTTTATCTATGCTACGAACAACCCGAGCTGGAAGACAGCGTTTTTCGCAGACATTGATGCAAAGTATGGCATCAAAGACTTGGGTCGGCTAGGAAATTATCTTGGAGTACAAGCTGAATGGCAAGATGATGGTGATTTACTTCACCAGACAAAGTACGCGAAAGATATCTTGAAGCGATTCGGGTTTGCAGACGCTGTTGGTTGCCGATCACCAATGGACACTACGGTCAAGCTGGAAGCTGCGAAAGACGGTGATAAAGAACCCGGATTGCCGTATCGTGAAGTAATTGGAGCATTGATGTACTTGGCGACAAGCACTCGCCCGGATCTTGCTTTTCCTGTTGGTTATT